CCGTGTAGCACATAAAATCGGTTTCAAGGTCAGTAAGTACAACCAGAGTTCATACATAAGGCACACCGGATTATAAGGCACACTGTCGATTTTTGAGAAAATTAAAGGATTTTAAGTGCGCCTTATAGTGCGGAAAATACAGTGTATATATAGACATATATGTCTATATTGCTGTATTCACACAGTCTGACATTTTCCAGCAAACCCTGGCTGATGTTTCTGGGATGCAGCCGGCTATCTGTATAGACAGGGGTGCACATAAGTGATCCACAGGTGTCAAAATAAAAGACACGCACCAGATAAGAAGCATGTTTGAGTACATATAAAAGGCAGTGTTTTTGTCCGCTAGAGTGGGATTTTCACGGCACATTCTGCACCACATCTCTGTGCGTTCATCATTTGTTTGAAGCCAGCTCACCTCCTGCAACCACTTTTCTGAGAATACGCGCTTCTTTTGCGGTTTGGACTCCTTTTGAGTTCATGTGTACTGTCTTTTAGTTTATGGGACGTTCCACAATATCTGTCAGTTTAACTACTTTGGTTTTTTTAAAGAATCCATTTCATATCTAAGGAACCTTGGAGGATATGAAATATTTTGTTCTCCCTCCTGCCAAGGTTTTACTGCTCATAAAGACAATATTCAGATATACTGTAATGTAAGCATCAAAGTTTGTATCTCTGCGTTTGTTAATATTTGAAAAAGGCTTCATTATTTGCTGGCAGCCATCTTGAAAGCATCAGCTGACTGAACATAGGGACGGAAAGGCTTGTTGTGTCTCGTTGGGTTCATGTTCGGCGGGTTTTCTGATTGCATAAGAGGTCCAGAGGGAGCGCGCTTCAAGGCGTGAGCGATCGAGTCCCGTTCACATCAGAGCGATCATCCTCCGTTCAGCACAAAACAAAGACGTAGGGTGTAGCGCCGTGACCGCGTCGCGCAGTGCAATCTACAGCTTTTCCATGTGATGCAGCAATTTAAATAAACGCAGGAGGTGAACGTGATCCTGACCTGGTTAACTGTTCAAGGAGCTCCACATCCCCCCTCCCTGTCCCGTGAAAGCACAAAGATGCGTTTCTCCCACAGACTGGAGAAACTCAGGTTTACCATAAAGCTTCAGAATTCTTCTACAGAAGAAAACTCCACAAAAGAAGCGCAGGAACTGCTCAGGTGGGAGACGACGGCTTATAAAGGTGCGGGTTGTGTTGGAAGAAAAGCTCCACAGAGAAGCCGGAGTCTGAGTTCCATCTTTTTCCCGTCAACCTGCGAGCGACCCGCCGAGGGAGGATGGAGATTGGATGAGCTCGGGCAGATCGCCGTGTCCGTGTGTAACCGATTAAAGAAATAATAGAAAAGAGCAAATTTGTCAGGGATTCTCCAGCGACTGCTCTCACCTTCTCTGACCTGACATTTCAGACTGACCGAGGCGGAGGTGTGTGTGTGTGTGTGTGTGTGTGTGAGCTGTCAGTATTTATGTGTGTGTCACTTGCCTATTCTCCCCGCTGTCGGTGGCAGGCTGAGTGGTAAGTCAAATATCAATTTCATCCAGAGTCCAATGACCAATTTGCATATTCATGCTGGTGGTTACTTGTATTAAAGCGAGCTGGCGGTGCGTACCACATGTCGCTTATATTTCTGATTAAATGGCGAGGAGAAGGCGAGACCGACGTGTCCGCTGCGTTCGATATAGAGCTCGATTTCTTTCTTATCAGGCAGTAATTGTCATGTGATGCATCCTGCAGATGTACCTGACGGTGCATGCACGGCAGAGGAGGAGAGAACACTGCGACGCTGCTCTAACTGGCGAGAGGATCAAACTCATTTACATTTGCTGGACTGCTGCACTTCCTGTGAGTGTGCTGCTCGCCTTTTGCCATTTACCCACCAAACATTAAGGTATATAATGACACACCTCTCTCTGTGGTGTGACAACAGCCTGACTCTTGTACCTACAGCTGCTGTTAATAAAGCAGCGAATTAAAGTGCTGGTTTGGGGAAGAAGGAGCGGTCTAATGTGAGGCGTTTGTCTACAGCCTCGTGCTCTCCTGCAGCACTCGTTGCTTCTCATACCCGCCTCTTCCTCCGGACGCTTACCATGAAGTGATTAAATACTGAGCCAGGTTGATGGCGATCGGCGTGCCGCTGATGGTGACGTGGCGGTCGCTGGTGCTGTCGATCTGACTGCCGATCTTGATCTGAGCCCCCGATACCTGCCGGATCTCGTTTATCTTGGTGCCCTGGCGGCCGATGATTGAGCCAATCAGCTGTGAGGAGGGAGACACGGAGAGGATTAGAGGCTTTTACAGGTGGACCGTGGCTTCAGTGAACTCTGACGGTGGCAAATGCAAAGACTTTCAAAGCACTTGGTTGTCTGTGAGCCTTAATGTGATGATTTTCTCACTTGTTGACAGCATGTAACTGGAAGCTCAGCTTACTTACCAGTTTGAGGTCTGTTTTTTATGTTTCCCTGCACTTGCTGTCAGACCCTCAGTCTGCCTTTACGTCTGGTGTGACGGGTTAAAAAACTCACGGCTCGTAGACCTTCTAACTTCCCCACATGAACCTCCAGCCTTCGTTCTCTGCCTTCAGTTTATTTTCCATCCTTCCATCTTGTTATCTGCTGGTGTCTAATAATATGGGACAGCACCAGGCGGTGAACTCTGACTCATCTGCCTGCCGTGAGCTGGGCGAGGGTCCCGGTGTGAGCTATCCTGGTCTCAGCGGGGGTTTTGTCACACAGTAGGTGTCACAGCAACCACAGACAGGTAGTTACTGAGCTCACCTGTGTGTCAGTAAATGTGTCTCATTATTTTTTTTTAAGACGGCAGGCTTGTCAGGTGGCAGCACGTCTGCACGGTGCCAGCTATGCATCTGGAGCTAAATTTATAAGAAATGAAACTGTTCTGTCTGATGCATTTTTGCAGTTAAGAAGGCAAAAAAAGTTGGGAGGTAACCGAAAGATTTTGTAATTACAGGACTTGTTTATCCTAATTATAAGACGAGGACTGAGAGGTCAGGGCTGGAACAGACGGGGGGTTCCAGCTATAAAAGTTTGTTCCAGAGGAGGAAACACGGCTGACTCGGTAAAAGTGCAGCTCTGAACAGATGAACAACGAGCGCTACCCTCAGTAAGTAAAGAGGACTCACATTTCACAACTGTGAAAACTTTGCTATCACTTCTTTCTTCAACTCTCGTGTAAAGTATCTATAAAGTTCCTCTGAGCCATTAAACAGAAGCTCCCCGGACCTGTGACAATCCCAGATCACCTGCCTCCTTTTAAGGAACAGATAAAAAGATCAAATCAAAGCCTGGCTCTGAATATTTTTAGACAAAGCATTTTAAAGACTTGTTCTTCCTGCTGATATTTTCTCTTGCAGCTCTAAAAATGAGGAGCAGACGAGGTCAGGCGTATTTGGAGGATATAAAAGTTATGCAAAGGAGATATTGTAGACTAATGTCAGCGTGCAGGCTGTTGGTGTCATCCAATTAAAAACATAACACCAATATGATGCCCACTGTGGAAACTGGTAAAGAATGAGCCAATTAACCCTCGGCACAGCTGATTGGCCTGAAATTGATCACAGCAGAAGATGTATAATTGATTAACTTTATCATCTGCAGTGAATTGTTTGCTCATATATTACAGATTATGTATATGTGTCATTTCAGGTTAATGACTTGTTATGACAGGAAGTTTCTTCTGAAGTCCTGACTTCAGCGAACTCGTTTTGACGGGAACGACGGCGGGACGCGAAGGAGCGTTTCCTGTCATCTTCCTCCCGTTCCAGGGCGCATGTTCAAAACCAGCTAAAGCCATAAGACGCGATTCTGGTCAATCTATGAAATGGAGAAATGCTGTCTGAAAAATAAGCTCTGTTGTTGCTGCAGACTCAACTGGGAACAATTATTCTTTAAAAGCATCACTTGTATCAGTCAGCTCACTGAAAATGGGCAGAATTGATATGGGATGCATTTCTATGTAATTTAAAGTTTGGGTTATTACTTGAAGCACTGATGAACCATCAGGAGCATCTCCTTTAATGCCTCGGATTAAAGCAGCCCTCTGTTTGACATGTGGACAGAAGCTCCTCTCTCTGCTGAGCCACCACCATCCTCTTCTTTTTAAAGCATGACTCATCGCTGCTCTCGGCTTCTCACTTTAATCCACTAACGACCCCGAGCTTCCCTTTAGTCACTTTTTGCCTTCATCTCATTCGTTGCTCTTAATTGCCTCCCTGTAACGGCCTCTTTCTGTTCCTCTGTGCACGAAAGAGTGAGTAGATCTGCACTGTAGAGAGCTATTCTCAGAAAGGTCTTTGATAATTTAAGTGTGTGTCTGTGTGCGTGCGCATTAGAGACACTGACAAACAAAGTGCTGGCCAATGACAACCGGCTGGGTTACAACCATTTGCATGAGATCCCTCTTAGCCGCTGTTTGACCTCACAAACGTGCTCATTGAATAATTACCGTCCTCCTGTGAGTCACCACCAGCAGACTGGCAGATATCCAGGGAAACAAAGATGTACACACACACTAACCTTTAAATGTCTCCATCTCTGGTTGCTGAACAAGTATTAACACAGTTTAAAGTCATACAGGTGCGTGACTACCTGTGGATGAAGACATCTGTGCACAGACTCACTGAATACTGGTTAAATATGTTCGTACATCAGGGGTCATCAGTCAGAATGAAGACACGCAGAAAATTTTCACTTTTATTTTGAAAAACTGCAAAAAGTTTCTTATTGGTGAGACTGTAGCACTTTTTTCTAGCTCGGGGTTTTTTATTTTGTTGGCTAACCTGAGAGTCACTATCAGCCTGCTTCCCTTGAGTTTAGCTTAAATTCAGTTTTTATTATATAGCACCAACAACAATACGGTCGTTAAGTCTGACGTCACTAGCCGTGTCTGGGTCTAAACTCCGCTGCAGGTCCATATATCAAACGATCACTGTGGCATTACTGAGAGTTGAAAAACTGTCTAAAGTCTTTCATCTTTAATAAAATGATCAGCGTTCTGCTCTACCAGGTGTAACAATTGAG